TACCAGTCAAAAGTTTGGACACCTACTCATTCAAAGGTTTCTTTATTTTTACTATTTTCTACATTGTAGAATAATAGTGAAGACATCAAAACTATGAAATAACACATATGGAATCATGTAGTAACCAAAAAAAAGTGTTAAACAAATCAAAATATATTTTATATTTGAGATTCTTCAAAATAGCCACGCTTTGCCTTGACAGCTTTGCACACTCTTGGCATTCTCTCTACCAGCTTCATGAGGTAGTCATCTGGAATGCATTTCAATTAACAGGTGTGCCTTCTTAAAAGTTAATTTGTGGAATTTCTTTCCTTATTAATGCGTTTGAGCCAATCAGTTTTGTTGTGACAAGGTATACAGAAGATAGCCCTATTTGGAAAAAGACCAAGTCCATATTATGGCAAGAAAACCTCAAATAAGCAAAGAGAAATGACAGTCCATCATTACTTTAAGACATGAATGTCAGTCAATACGGAACATTTCAAGAACTTTGAAAGTTTCTTCAAGTGCAATTGCAGCCCAAATAAATGCTACAGAGTTCAAGTCACAGACACATCTCAACATCAACTGTTCAGAGGAGACCACGTGAAATCAGGCCTTCATGGTCGAATTGCTGCAAAGAAACCACTACTAAAGGACACCAATAAGAAGAAGAGACCTGCTTGGGCCAAGAAACACAAGCAATGGACATTAGACCGGTGGAAATTTGTCCTTTGGTCTGGAGTCCAAATTTGAGTTTTTTGGTTCCAACCGCTGTGTCTTTGTGAGACGCGGTGTGGGTGAATGGATGATCTCCGCATGTGTAGTTCCCACAGTAAAGCATGGAGGAGTTGGTGTTATGGTGTGGGGGTGCTTTGCTGGAGACACTGTGTGATTTATTTAGAATTCAAGGCACACTTAACCAGCATGGCTACCACAGCATTCTGCAGCGATACGCCATCCCATCTTGTTTGGGCTTAATGGGACTATCATTTGTTTTTCAACAGGACAATGACCCAACACACTTCCAGGCTGTGTAAGGGCTATTTTACCAAGGAGAGTGATTGAGTGCTGCATCAGATGACCTGGCCTCCACAATCCTCGACCTCAACCCAGTTGAGATGGTTTGGGATGAGTCGGACGGCAGAGTGAAGGAAAAGCAGCCAACAAGTGCTCAGCATATGTGGGAACTCCTTCAAGACTGTTGGAAAAGCATTCCAGGAGAAGCTGGTTGAGAGAATGCCAAGAGTATGCAAAGCTGTCATCAAGGCAAAGGGTGACTATTTGAAGAATCTCAAATATAAAACATTTTGATTTGTTTAACACTTTTTTGGTTACTACATGATTCCATGTGTAATTTCATAGTTTTGATGTCTTCACTATTATTCTACAATGTAGAAAATTTTAAAAATAAAGAAAAACCCTTGAATGAGTAGGTGTGTCCAAACATTTGACTGGTACTGTACATATCTCGAAGATCAGACTGACACACACAACATTAAATTAAGTCTGCTGGGTCCCCTTGCCCTCCCCTACAGGAGATCATGTCGGCTCAGTCTATAGGAACCTATAGACACATTTGACAAAATCATTGATTTGACGGAGATCCAATAGCAGGGATGTGATCACAGTAAACCAGTGGATCAAAACAAACATAAATTGGAACCACAACTCATTAAAAAAAAGCAATTTTCCTTCTAAGCACTAGCACGTTAACTAGAATATTAAATTTCCTAAAGAACATGTGTGCACTTGCGAGCTTGTCTTAAAGTCCTATTTCAGTCTCCTTTTTCACCTCATTGCATACCTGATTTACTTAAAAAAGGCACATCAATAGGTGATCCAGGTATGATTATGACATGACACAAGTGGGATGGGGGGGTGCTTCCTCTTTTGTTCTCTATTGCTCCTTTATTGTTCCTCATTTAAGGGGGGGTGGGGTGGGGGGGGGGATGATGACATTACATCAGACCAACTCATTGAATGCCCTACTCCTTGAAGTTTGCAGTTGTCTAAAAAACACTATTTTTCTCAAAACTTTATTTTTACACTTAAGTGGGTGTATGTCGCTGTATTTATACTTGGGCTACCGCCTTTCAATAGGAAAATGTTATTTTTTTTAATCACTGGAGGACGTTATGGTTGTTGTAGTGATAGTGACTAAAGTAGTAATGGTAGTGACTGGTTATAGTTGAAAAGCACATGTTGGTTTGGTGTCTCTAGTTTGAACGGTTCAAGAGTTACTATTACTGTTGGTGGGTTATTATTTGCCAATTTATGCAATTTTTGAATTGTTATAGTTTAAACATTTCTGAAAATGTTAGTTTTAATGTTTGTAGCTGAAATGGTTGAAGCGCAGTAGCATTTAAAATGTCTACCACTGTTTTCTTATGGTTGGCATTGAATCCATGTATTTATGCTAATTTCTGCAAAGTAAAATAGTTTATAAAAAAGTGTTAGAGAATTGGATAGCCTGAATGTTTTAAAGTTGGTCTTGTAGCATAATTGGCCAAGGAGCAGGACCAATTGGAATAGCTAACACTGTATTCCTATAGTTCTCATTCAAACCCATGTTTAATTTATGCTAATTTAAAATGGTTATAGTTCAAAAAGTATAAATAGCCTAACAAATCTGAATGCAAGCAATCTAAGTCAGGTCAGTCTGAACATCTCAAAGTTGGTTTGGTGTTGATAGCTTAAAGCAGTGAAAGATGAGTCTAGAATGTTGACGTCTAGGCCATTTTTTTGCCATTGAAATGCATTGGAGATTATTTTAAATATTGTTGTAGTTCAAAAAGTATACATGCTATCAAAAAGATTCTCAAGCAATGTAATTTGAGTTAGTCTGCACATTTGGAAGTTGATTTCGTGTTAATAGCTTAAATAATTTAAGCGCTATATTGAGGAGAATAAATAGAATAACTAGAAAATGACATTTACTGAAGTAAATGTGGTGTGCTTGCTAATCTTGAAGTAGTTATGGTTGTAAAATAGTTATAGTGATGGCAGTAGTAGGGTTTTCATAGGCTGTGTGTTAGTTATAGTGACCAATTTTGGGGTGGTTTGTAGGTTTGGAGTTATTATAGTGTATTATAGTGGGCTAGAGTGAGTCCCATGTCATCATAAGCTCTATAATGTGTTTTTAAGCTCTTCAAATGTTTTTGTTTGAACATTCTGAAAGTTTTGTGGCAGTGATTTCAGTTAAGAACGTTGAAGCCTGCATTCCATCATTGAAATGGATGGGAATACAACAAGCTTTATAGTTTATAAGGTAGGAATGGTAGCAAAAAGCTCTGTTGAAGCCATTTAAGTTGAGTTGTGCACATATCAACGTTGGGGTGGTGTTTGTAGGTGAAACGGATCAAGAGCAGTGGTGAATCAACATTTCGCCTTTGAAATCTATGGCGCTTTTAAGCAAATGGGCATGAGGATGGGGATGTGGGAGGGCTCAGGGGACAACCAAGGGGTTTTGGGTATTCGGAGCAGCTTCACATAAAATGTATGCTTTAAAATACAAAATAAAACAAAACATCCCATTCAAGCCTATGGAGTTTCTATGCATATTTAAAACAGTTATAGTTCAAAATGTATAAATGGTATCAAAAAGCTGTATACAAGCAACCTATTCCAGACCAGTCTAAACATTTGAAAGTTTGAATAGCATTTCTAGTTTAAACGGTGGAAGACTAGTTACGACCGGAATTCTATTGAAATAAATTGGGATTTATGCAAATATGGTTGTAGTGTGAAAAGTATTAGTAGTATCAAAACGTTTTTTTTTTTTTCAAGCAACCTGAGCAGTGGCTGTCTGGACGTTTTAAAAGTTGTTTTGGTGTTTGTAAATTTTACAGTTTTGGCACTAAAGGTTCCAGCGTCATAATAAGTATGAACAGTTTCTAAAGTTGTGCTTGCCTAATAAGACTATATAAGAAATCTAGAGCGGTCTTGCCTTCAGCAAGCACATTAATATTAAGAATATGTAAGAAATCTAGTGGTCTTGCCCTCAGCAAGTACATGAATTAGTAACTACCAAAATAATTTAAACACTTGAGTAAATGAGGGATACAAAGTATATTGAAAGCAGGTGCTTCCACACAGGCATGGTTCCTGAGTTAACTAAACAATTAACATCCCATTATGCTTAGGGTCATGTATAAAAATACTGGGCAGGTCATTATTTTGGCTATCATGGCTATGGCCCAATAGGATGACAATGCCCCCATCCACAGGGCACGAGTGGTCACTGAATGGTTTGATGAGCATGAAAATGATGTAAACCATATGCCATGGCCATCTCAGTCACCAGATCTCAATGCAATTGAACACTTACGGGAGATTGTGGAGTGGCGCCTGAAAGCGCTTTCCACCACCACCACCAACAAAACACCAAATGATGGAGTTCCAGACACTTGTAGAATCTATGCTAGGGCTCTCCACCCCTGTTCCTGTAGAGCTACCTTCCTGTAATAACTAAACTGATTCCGTTTATCATCCAGCTAATTACTAGAATCAGGTGTGCTACATTAGGGTTGGAGGAAAACCTACAGGATGGTAGCTCTTCAGGAATAGGGTTGGAGAACCCTGATATATGCCAAGATGCATTGAAGCTCTTCTGGCTCATGGTGGCCCAACACCCTATTAAGACACTATGTTGGCGTTTCATTTATTTAGCCAGCAACCATACAGTGTGGTCCACAGTGATTGACACCCTTGATAAAGATTAGCAAAAATGACAATAAAATAAAGAGCTGTATTTTCATGTCATCCAACAAATGTAAATGCTTGGAGTTTGCTAAATGGGATTGGCACTTGGATTGAAACCTGTGCTATGGTCAGATTACATTTAAAAAGATTACTTATTAAACAATCTCTTTCTCTGAGCAATTGTAAAAAATACAATATAGCTAAGTAATTGAATTATTTATTTGATAGTCATTTTTACTCATCTTTATCAAGGGTGTCACTGTATATTTATATATATTACATACATAATCTTGTTCTTCACTACTAGGGGCTCGGCATTAATGCGAGGAGGCTTTGGTGGGGATGTCAGACACACAATGTTGTTGGAAGTTGGCCGAAACTTCAGAGTCGCACCCCAGTCCCTGATTGCCTCCCCTCTTGACGCCGTCTCCCTCTACGATCCAGGTGTTGGACTCGTTTCCAAGGAGCATGCAGGGTTTCCCACAGTCGGCCAGGGCTGCGGCGGTGGGCTGTCCCCCGACCACGCTGGTCTTCCCAAATGCCCGCTCCTGGAGAACACTTGTGAGATGACTCAGTAGGTCGTCAAAGAACTCCGGGACACCCTCGTAACCTGAATAATAGAAAAGTTCATTTTTTATAGAAATACAATTAAATAAATATTTAGGCAGTAGATTTAGAATGCTAGATGTTTTATAAAAGGGCACACAAGATGTATACAAATACAGGCATTCACAAAATACATCACAACAAATGTAACTATGTAGAAAGGTAATTTCACATGAAGTAAGATTATGTGACTTGCTTCAAGCTCTTTAAAATTATTTTTGTGGTAGTTGAATACGTTTAAAACCTATTACTTAAGTGAAGCAGCGAAATATAGTCAAAGTGAAATATTTTAAAAGATCTGGTCTGATTACTTTTATAGACTACTATATCAACCTTATTACTTTGGAGTGTGGGGTAGTTAGATCATATTTCAACAAAATAACTACAACACATTGAATCATTGTGGAGATAAAGCAATCCTTCTACCCCCCCCTCCGCCACAAAAAAATAAAAGAAGAAAAAAAGTGGTTGTCCCACTTGCTATCATAAGTTGAATGCACCAATTTGTAATTTCCCTCTGGATAAGAGCGTCTGCTAAATGATGTAAAATAAATATGATGGTGCATCTTGTGGAAGAAGTTTAGAAGTTTGTTAGTGTTGAAAGATTGAGGCTGGTGTAGTAGAGAGAGTGACTTATAAATAGTTGAGAGTAGTAGTAGTAGTAGTAGTAGTAGTAGTAGTAGTAGTAGTAGTAGTAGTACACTGGGCAAAAATTGGTTGAATCAACGTTGTTTCCACATAATTTCAACAAAAAAATTACGTTGAATCAACGTTGTTTCCACATAATTTCAACAAAAAAATTACATGTGATGACATTGAATCAACGTGGAAAAATGATTGGATTTGCAAAAAGTTATCAACGTAAGGGAATTGTATTTTTCAACCAACTTTAAACCTAAATACAAGGACCGTGACATTTCCTGTTGATTTCATGTTGAATTTATGTTAGTTGACAACTCAACCAGATGTAAATCAAAACTAGATGTTGAAATGACATCTGTGCCCAGTGGGAAGTAGCCCAGAAGTACTAGTAGCAATACATCGCAGTAATAATAGTGAATGTCTTAAATAGGTAGGCCACGGGTTAGCTATAGTAAGTGGGTCGCTATTGTTGTTTGGCTAGTGAGTGTGGGGTTTGTTATATTGGGTTAGTTTAGTGTGTTGGGGTGAGCTGTGGGCAATGAGATTGAGGCTGTAACCGGAAAGTGCGTTCGGAAAGTATTCAGGCCCCTTGACATTTTGTTACGTTACAGCCTTATTCTAAAATGGATTCAATGGTTTTTTTTTATCCTCAGCAATCTACACACAATACCCCATAATGGCAAAGCAAAAACAGGTTTTTCAAAATGTTTGCTATTTATATATTTTAAAAAAATAAAGTATTCAGACCCTCTGCTATGAGACTCGAAATTGAGCTCAGGTGCATCCTGTTTCTGTTGATCATCCTTGAGATGTTTCTACAACTTGATTGGAGTCCACTTGTGGTAAATTACATTGATAGGACATGATTTGGAAAGGCACACACCTGTCTATATAAGGTCCCACAGTTGACAGTGCATGTCAGAGCAAAAACCAAGCCATGAGGTCGAAGGAATTGTCCGTAGAGCTCCGAGACAAAACTTTCTGCAGCATTAAAGGTCCCCAAGACCACAGTGGCCTCCATCATTCTTAAAATGGAAGAAGTTTGGAACCACAAAGACTCTTCCTAGAGCTGGCCGCCCGGCCAAACTGAGCAATCGGGGGAGAAGGGCCTTGGTCAGGGAGGTGACCAAGAACCTGACGGAGCTGCAGAGTTCCTCTGTGGAGATGGGAGAACCTTCCAGAAGGACAACCATCTATGAAGCACTCCACCAATCAGGCCTTTATGGTAGAGTGGCCAGACGGAAGCCACTCCTCAGTAAAAGGCACATGACAGCCCGCTTGGAGTTTGCCAAAAGGCACCTAAAGACTCTCAGACCATGAGAAACAAGATCCTCTGGTCTGATAAAACCAAGATTAAACTCTTTGGCCTGAATGCCAAGCGTCACGTCTGAAGGAAACCTTGCACCATCCATACGGTGAAGAATGGTGGTGGCAGCATCATGCTGTGGGGGTGTTCGCCTTCCAACAGGGCAACAACCCTAAGCACACAGCCAAGACAACGCAGGAGTGGCTTCGGGACAAGTCTCTGAATGTACTTGAGTGGCCCAGCCAGAGTCCAGACTTGAACCCAATCTAACATCTCTGGAGAGACCTGAAAATAGCTGTGCAGCAACACTCCCCATCCAACCTGACAAATCTTGAGAGGATCTGCAGAGAAGAATGGGAGAAACTCCCCAAATACAGGTCTGCCAAGCTTGTAGCGTCATACCCAAGAAGACTTGAGGCTGTAATTGCTGCCAAAGGTGCTTCAACAAAGTACTGAGTTAAGGGTCTGAATACTTATGTAAATGTGATTTTTTTTGGGGGGGGGGGGATAAATTAGCAAAAAATTCTACAACTTTTGCTTTGTCATTATGGGGTATTGTGTGTAGATTGATGAGGGGAAAAAAAACAATTTAATGAATTTTAGAATAAGGCTGTAACCTAACAAAATGTGGAAAAAGTCAAGGGGTCTGAATACTTTCCGAAGGCACTGAAAATATCTGAATGTTAATTGATGACGGCCTCTCTTTTAAATTACATATTCAACAACTTACAAAAAAATTGAAGCTGAAGTTTGGACTTTATTTTAGGAATAAGGCCTGCTTTTCTTTTGAAGCCAGAAGGAGGCTAGTATCAGCTACATTTATGGCTATACTAGACTATGGTGATATTTTATATATGAATGCTTCCGCTCAGTGTTTGAGATCAATTGACACCCTTCGCCATGGAGCATTGAAATTTATTTTAAACTGCAAAACCCTTTCGCACCACTGCACTTTATATACCAGGGTTGGCTGGCCTTCTCTAGTCACTCGTAGGCTCAGTCACTGGTATACTTTTATTTACAAAGCCATTTTTGGTTTACCTACCATTTTATTTGGGCATTTTATTCTTCAGAAATGTGATGGGTACTCTCTTCGTTCGCATTACTTTATCCTGCTAACTTTTCCAAATGTCCGAACTGAATTTGGTAAAAGGGCTTTTATGTACTATGCACCATCGGCTTGGAAAGCCTTACAAAATCGTTTTAAACTGGAAGAACTGGTCCCGATTGGTGTTTTTAAATCATTGATGAAGGATTTTGAGGCTGATTCCTTGACCTGTCAATGTTTTTAATTTGCTGTTTTATGATTCTGTTCTGATTTCAGATTTGAAAAGCAGAGAATATTTAATACGCTCTAGGTTTTTGTCCAAGTTGTTGGGAAAGTGATAAAAATGTCAGTTTGTAAAAGTTTAGATAAAATGTAGTTTGTGGTTACTAGAACAGCTGTATTGTTTGATTGGTAGAATATATTTCCATTCAGATTTCAGATTTGAACAGCAGAGGCGTAGACCAAGATTTCATACGCTCTGTTTTCGTCTAATTTGCTGGAAAAGTGGTCAAAATGTCAGTTGGTTGAGAGAAAATAAAGTTGATGCCGATACGTTTACAGTTTTGGCATGTCAAAGGGTGAAAATGTCATATGGTGCAACTGTCTAAAGGTTGCATTTTAACAAAAGGGTTGCAAAATTGGTATAAGAAAACAGAAAATATTTAACTTTAGCATACATTTACAAGGGTATGTGATGACATAATGAAATGTTGAGCTAGGAAGGAATCATTTTCTTTGAAATACTTTTGTCCACACATTTGAAAAACACTAATATCAAATGGTGCAACCAACATTAACATTTCCTCCATGTGTCATGATACAACATCAAAGCCTATACTGTAGTGGACCCTCCAGTTCAGCAGAAAGATAAACAAATCTCCCACAAATGTCACAGTTCTATCCTCTGTCATGACAGGGGATAATTTACAATGTCATATGGTACGACCACAAAAAAAAACTATTAAAATGGTGTACAATTTAAAAATAGGTTCTATGTTATTAAAGATTATGGTGAATATGCAAGCCTTTCAAATAAACTTTGCCTCATGACCAGAGCTCTAAATTTAAATGTTTCATTGGTAGCACTGGTGCTCCCAACTTTAAAGTTAGGAGCACTACATAAAATGTAGGAGCTACTGTACTTCTGAAGCACATGATGTGCCCTAGAAATGCTGTAAAAACATGTGTATTTAAAAAAGTTAAAATATGATACAAATACCGGTCATTGAAATTACAAAGTAATTTGTGGAATATTAGGTTTTTACATAGGATAGCATTAGCCTTCAGGCTATCTTACCCTGAAGACCGGAAGAGCCATGTCGCTGGATTGACCGCCTAGTTAGCACAGGCGAGCAAACGCAGACTAAACTAGGCAAAGGGGATAGCCAGCAGTACTACCGTGTGGTAGGTAGAAATGCATGGTTAGCTTGCCTTGCAGTGAGCTAGTCGAGATAGCCCAAGCCTTGCATTATGGGCTAGCTGAGTCACACTAGCTAGCTAACCGGAGGGGTGACCAAGGGGTAGAATGAATTTCTACACAAGCAATGCTACAATACCGTGTTTCAGGTAGGATTGCATGGTTAGCTTACCTTGCAGCAAGCTAGCAGAGCTAGCTTAAAGGAAAACTCCACCCAAAACCTATTTTGGTATTTGTTTCATTAGTCCATTGTTGATATAGTCCCAACATGTCAGCAATCAAGTTTTCAAGATATGCAACTTTCAATATACAGAAATCTGGCCCACATGATGCATCTTATGATGCTGCATTTTGAAGATGCATGTCAGTTATAATTTCTTCCTAGCAAACCATGTACCTGTCAAACAAATACTTAGCATGTGGGTATGTACAGTATGCCTTAAGATCTGCTTAATGACTTCAATAGCTTTCAAAGCCTGCCCTCTGGAATTAAAGGGGCAATCTGAGATTGGTGAAAAACAAGATATGATTTTGATCTCATGAATGAGCAATCATTGCATCCATTGCTCGGTCTATGAATCTGAGAGTGGTTATGTTTCTCCAGCTGCAGACAAGCTGTCAACCACCAAAAAGAGTGGTGTGGGGTCTGCTTTGTTGTTGTTTGAATCCCAGATTGTTCCTTTAAACCTTGTGTCATACCATTTCAGATAACATGGTGTAACTTCTATTTCCATTCCCAAATGCTTCCAGTTACAGCAATACTGTTTCTCTCTCTACAGCAAATTATAGCGGTCGCACCGTATGACATTTTTCACAGGACTAAACATCTTATTTAATAATGAAATTAAATCATTTCAATTTTAAACTATCATTAGTTCAAAGACTAGACTTCTGTGAAGATAAAACATGTATTTGAACGTTAATTCATTAAACAACTTTTTTTCACACTTGAAAAAACATATTTGTCAACTCCCTGGTAGAAGATGTTTGTTCCAATTTCAGATTTGAATAGCAAAGAAGCAGACTAAGATTTCATACGGTCTAAGTTTTTATCTAAGTTGTTGGGAAAGTGTTAAAAGTAGCTGATTTGTGTCAAAATATATACAATACATACAATGGGAGTTTAATAGTTTAAATATTACCAAAAAGTTGTATGCAAACACACTGGTCCTGACCAGTTTACACGTTTTAAAGTTTAAATGGCGTTTCTAGCTTAAACTGTGTAAGAGGAGTAGCGTTCCAAAGAATAACTACATGTATAATAAGTCAGAAATAAGTTGTACATTATTTAAAAAGTGTGGCTGCTGTCACATTAATAAAACAAATATTGTTTTATTCTTAACAATGTTGGTTAGGTTTGGCATATGTGAGTATAACTTTTCAGTTTATTAATTCTCTCCATTTAATGATAGAACTTTACTCAAATGGACCACAACCACTTCCTACTCCATCTGATTTTTGAACACCATAGCTGCAGCTTGAATTAGGTCCATTGAATGACACCACCGCACCCTGTGGAAACATGAGCATTGCACATACCTGGAAATGCGTTGATGTCAATGACTGCATGCTGCCCTGTCTGGTTGCTGATGATGATGTCAATGCCAAACAGGGACACATCCAGTGCTCGCCGCAGACACCTGGAGATCTCCCTGATGACATCATCAATAGGCACCCTGGACACCCCCTCCACATTGTCCCTCTACACACCACACAGACAAATGGACGGACAGACAGACACATAGTAAAGAGGGAAAGTTGACAAGATCAATTCTGGTTATGCTGTTAGTACCAACACAAATTGCAAGGCTACAGTAGAGGAAGAGAGACAGATCGACAGACATAAGGTCAGTTCTGTGAATGCCGTTGTACCAATTACTATATAGCAAGGCCCTGACAAAGCAAGAACAAAAAATTATTTAAAAAAAGATATTGCCCATATTTTGTCAATCAAAATGGCTGTGCACATTTTCAGAATATGCTTTGGTCTGAGGTTTCACTTACAGAATTCAGGTCGGAAGCACACTCTGGCTTGGACACATCGTGACTGTGGAAAAAAATGGGTTTTCTCTCTGGAAAACAGAAACCAGGCAGTTGACTAGGTTTGTAAAGAACAGACACTAATGAAGTCAGAGAGCAACCACATTAAATTAAATTTGCTACATGTAACATTTTAGCCACACATTCGATTTCTTCAGTTCTCTTTTAAGGACACTGCTAAGAAACCTAAAATGGCTTAGTTCTGCTTTTTACCTGATCATAATCCCCAAAATATCAGTTGCAAGGACGTGAAGAAGTTTTGTATTGCTAATGTTTTTGATATTGTCATCCTCGTGAATGAGAACCAATTGTAATTCAGTAAGTTGTACACACAACTAGATGTCTAGTTGCCAAATTGCTAATTTGCAGTAAAAATGCTAATTAGTCCTGTCACACTGACTTCTAAAAAGTATGTTTTACTCCTGTGGATTTATATTCCTTTGCTACTACTGGTATGCAATTGACAGTTGGAGCTAGTTGCAGGTGGAAATGTTAAATGTAGCTATATTCCAGTTTCCCAATGTGGACATCGCTAAAAGTACACATTTTACCTTATGCTCATTTCTGATGTGTCTCTACTAAAATGACTAGCTCTCTCAATAAAAAATATGTCCTGTCGGTCTTTAAGGCTTAAAGGCCCACTCCTCGACTAACACACCTGATTCAACTACTCAAGGGCTATTGATTATATACAGTGAGGGAAAAAAGTATTTGATCCCCTGCTGATTTTGTACGTTTGCCCACTGACAAAGAAAGTATCAGTCTATAATTTTAATGGTAGGTTCATTTGAACAGTGAGACAGAATAACAACAACAAAAATCCAGAAAAACGCATGTCAAAAATTGTATACATTGATTTGCATTTTAATGAGGGAAATAAGTATTTGACCCCCTCTCAATCAGAAAGATTTCTGGCTCCCAGGTGTCTTTTATACAGGTAACGAGCTGAGATTAGGAGCACACTCTTAAAGGGAGTGCTCCTAATCTCAGTTTGTTACCTGTATAAAAGACATGTCCACAGAAGCAATCAATCAATCAGATTCCAAACTCTCCACCATGGCCAAGACCAAAGTGCTCCCCAATGATGTCAGGGACAAGATTGTAGACCTACACAAGGCTGGAATGGGCTACAAGGCCATCACCAAGCAGCTTGGTGAGAAGGTGACAACAGTTGGTGCGATTATTCGCAAATGGAAGAAACACAAAATAACTGTCAATCTCCCTCAGCCTGGGGCTCCATGCAAGATCTCACCTCGTGGAGTTGCAATGATCATGAGAACAGTGAGGAATCAGCCCAGAACTACACGGGAGGATCTTGTCAATGATCTCAAGGCAGCTGGGACCATAGTCACCAAGAAAACAATTGGTAACACACTACGCCGTGAAGGACTGAAATCCTGCAGCACCGCATGGTCCCCCTGCTCAAGAAAGCACATATACATGCCCGTCTGAAGTTTGCCAATGAACATCTGAATGATTCAGAGGGGAACTGGGTGAAAGTGTTGTGGTCAGATGAGACCAAAATCGAGCTCTTTGGCATCAACTCAACTCGCCGTGTTTGGAGGAGGAGGAATGCTGTCTATGACCCCAAAAACACCATCCCCACCGTCAAACATGGAGGTGGAAACATTATGCTTTGGGGGTGTTTTTCTGCTAAGGGGACAGGACAACTTCACCGCATTAAAGGGACGATGGACGGGGCCATGTACCGTCAAATCTTGGGTGAGAACCTCCTTCCCTCAGCCAGGGCATTGAAAATGGGTCGTGGATGGGTATTCCAGCATGACAATGACCCAAAACACACAGCCAAGGCAACAAAGGAGTGGCTCAAAGAAGAAGCAAATGTTGGTCCTGGAGTGGCCTAGCCAATCTCCAGACCTTAATCCCATAGAAAATCTGTGGAGGGAGCTGAAGGTTCGAGTTGCCAAACGTCAGCCTCGAAACCTTAATGACTTGGAGAAGATCTGCAAATAGGAGTGGGACAAAATCCCTCCTGAGATGTGTGCAAACCTGGTGGCCAACTACAAGAAACGTCTGACATCTGTGATTGCCAACAAGGGTTTTGCCACCAAGTACTAAGTCATGTTTTGAAAAGGGGTCAAATACTTATTTCCCTTGTCAATTTATAACATTTTTGACATGCGTTTTTCTGGATTTTGTTGTTGTTATTCTGTCTCTCACTGTTCAAATAAACCTACCATTAAAATTATAGACTGATCATGTCTTTGTCAGTGGGCAAACGTAAAAAATCAGCAGGGGATCAAATACTTTTTTCCCTCACTAACTGAATGAATACAATCAGGGGTGTGTAATAAAATGTACATGTCCTGGTGGTCCACCAAGTGATAGTTCACTTTTTAAAGTTTCAGTTCATTTCCAACTTCCATAGGGAAGCGGTTTTCAAATCTCTCCTTGGGGACCCGCAGACATTTCACAATTTTGTTATAGCCCTGAACTAGTTCAGGTAACTGATTTACCTAATCAAGGTTCTGATAATTAGTTGACAAGTTGAATCAGGTGTGCTAGCCCTTTAATAGTTCAAATATTGTAAACTGCAACAAAAAAAGAAAAAAAGAAAAAGAGGGAAATGAACTATCCCTTTAAGCAGAAGGAAGTTTTTTGTGTGGCAGTTTAGCATTAGCACAGAAGGGGGCAGAAATGTCCATGCAGACTCTCAGATTAAAAAAGATTGATCCACTCTGATGACTGTACTGCTGTGAGTGACTCACACGCTAATGAATACCTTGCTCAGTGAACCAGGGAAATGGAACCTATACACAAACATGGGACGAGCACAAACATTGACACAAAGAAGGGAATTGTTTGGGAATGTATCAGCGGTGCTTTACGTCAAACAGAGCAACTCGGAAATCCCATTAACGGTCATTTAATTTGGCATGTGGCCCCCTGCCATGGTTAAACAGAAGACGTGTTTATAAACGGCGGTAAATCAAGTGTCTTCATAAGGTAATGTGCCAGTTTACAGTGGTCTCTAAGAAATGGGACAATTCTGAAGTGGCACCTACTCCCAATATAGTGCACTGACTCTGGTTAAAAGTAGTGCATGAGAATAGGGTGCTATTTCAGATGCAAATTTAGATAAGCTGGTGAGGGGATTTCAAGTCGGACACCATCTGTGCTTTTAACACTTTTCTAATCAAAACACACAATTCAAACCTACTCTATACGCCGACATTTGAAATGGGACAAGCTCGATTTGGGTTAGAATAGGGCAGGGTTGGGCTAAATGGATCTGCTATGAGTTTCAGGTAAGGTGGCATGAGTAGACTCAGTATCGCCTAATTTTTTTTTCTTCTATTTAACCTTTAACTAGGCAAGTCAGTTAAGAACAAATTCTTATTAACAATGACAGCCTACCCTGGACGACCCTGGGCCAATTGTGCGCCGCCCTATGGGACTCCCAATCACAGCCTGGAATCGAACCAAGGTCTGTGGTGACGCATCTAGCACTGAGATGCAGTGCCTTAGACTGCTGCGCCACTCAGGAGCCCAAATCTAAGATGTGTCAAATAAATTATATCCAGCAGAGATCAGCAGAGACATTCAATCCCCTTCTGGATCAAGATCCCTGTTGCCTAAATTGTTTTGTGCAGGTTTTTTGTTGTTGAAATAGCGCCCCTTGTGTGCACATTTGGTAATACCGTATACCCCGGTATGGTACAGAGATGGTATGACGGTATTAAAATCTGGGTACTGCCCAACACCATCGCCTAATACAAAAAATATACAGTGAGGGGAAAAAAGTATTTGATCCCCTGCTGATTTTGTACGTTTGCCCACTGACAATGATCAGTCTATAATTTTAATGGTAGGTTTATTTGAACAGTGAGAGACAGAATAACAACAAAATAATCCAGAAAAACGCATGTCAAAAATGTTATAAATTGATTTGCATTTTAAAATGAGGGTAATAAGTATTTGACCCGCTCTCAATCAGAAAGATTTCTGGCTCCCAGGTGTCTTTTATACAGGTAACGAGCGGAGATTAGGAGCACACTCTTAAAGGGAGTGCTCCTAAACTCAGCTTGTTACCTGTATAAAAGACATGTCCACAGAAGCAATCAATCAATCAGATTCCAAACTCTCCACCATGGCCAAGACCAAAGTGCTCTCCAAGGATGTCAGGGACAAGATTGTAGACCTACACAAGGCTGGAATGGGCTACAAGACCATCGCCAAGCAGCTTGGTGAGAAGGTGACAACAGTTGGTGCGATTATTCGCAAATGGAAGAAACACAAATGACCTGTCAATCTCCCTCGGCCTGGGGCTCCATGCAAGATCTCACCTCGTGGAGTTGCAATGATCATGAGAACGGTGAGGAATCAGCCCAGAACTACACGGGAGGATCTTGTCAATGATCTCAAGGCAGCTGGGACCATAGTCACCAAGAAAACAATTGGTAACACACTACGCCGTGAAAGACTGAAATCCTGCAGCGCCCGCAAGGTCCCGCTGCTCAAGAAAGCACATATACAGGGCCGTCTGAAGTTTGCCAATGAACATCTGAATGATTCAGAGAAGAACTGGGTGAAAGTGTTGTGGTCAGATGAGACCAAAATCGAGCTCTTTGGCATCAACTCAACTCGCCGTGTTTGGAGGAGGAGGAATGCTGCCTATGACCCCAAGAACACCATCCTCACCGTCAAACATGGAAGTGGAAACATTATGCTTTGGGGGTGTTTCTCTGCTAAGGGGACAGGACAACTTCACTGCATCAAAGGGACGATGGACGGGGCCATGTACCGTCAAATCTTGGGTGAGAACCTCCTTCCCTCAGCCAGGGCATTGACAATGGGTCGTGGATGGGTATTCCAGCATGACAATGACCCAAAACACACGGCCAAGGCAACAAAGGAGTGGCTCAAGAAGAAGCACATTAAGGTCCTGGAGTGGCCTAGCCAGTCTCCAGACCTTAATCCCATAGAAAATCTGTGGAGGGAGCTGAAGGTTCGAGTTGCCAAACGTCAGCCTCGAAACCTTAATGACTTGGAGAAGATCTGCAAAGAGGAGTGGAACAAAATCCCTCCTGAGATGTGTGCAAACCTGGTGGCCAACTACAAGAAACGTCTAACCTCTGATTGCCAACAAGGGTTTTGCCACCAAGTACTAAGTCATGTTTTGCAGAGGGGTCAAATACTTCTTTCCCTCATTAAAATGCAAATCAATTTATAACATTTTTGACATGTGTTTTTCTGGATGTTTTGTTGTTATTCTGTCTCTCACTGTTCAAATAAACCTACCATTAAAATTATAGACTGATCATGTCTTTGTCAGTGGGCAAACGTACAAAATCAGCAGGGGATCAAATACTTTTTTCCCCTCACTGTATATAGCCCCCACTCCTAGGTACTTCATGAAGATTTGAAAAGATTGAATAGGTATAAGAAACATGGGAATAGGGTGAAATGTTCGTGTGCCCATATTGTTTACTTACGTCAATACCATTTTAGTATATAGGAGGCAGGGGCTATGTGTTATAAGGTGTTGGGAATGGGTACATTTTGAAGCTGGGAATTGGGTATATCTGACCTGCAGGTCCAAAAGGGAAGTTTCTGATAGAAGGCCTCTCCACCACGTAGTAGGCTTCTCCCACCACATACACCTTGTAGAGTACAGCATCGTGGTTAATGAAGTTCTGGATCACACACGGGGGCTTAACATCCTTCAGGTCCTCCTCACTGAATATGATGGCCATCTATGGGGGGAATAACATGTAAGACTCGTGCATCTGTTCATTCAATTTCATCAAACCTCCCTTGTTATCCCTCTGTCAGTTCAGTGATGGGTAGAATCCACTGTCTGTGATCTCATTCAGCCATACTCTCTTAAAACATGCCTGGGTTCAAATAGTATTTGTCTTCTCTGAAATGCATTGATTTTGATTGAGCCTACCTGGAGTGCCAGATGGGTGAGGTTTGCACTTTTGGGACTATTCCATTAGTTTATTGCACCAGCCAAGTAAAATGATTTGAAAGATCCTCAAAACCCATTGTCAAAAATAACATATTGACAATGTGACATTTTTGTGCAGTAACTAAAAATGTTTGGCCACTATCTCAATAAAATGATCAGTGCCGCAATGTTTCCCCACCAGATAGAGGGCACTAATACCCAATATCCTTTTTGGTGTTTTGTGATTTTGTTTTGAGGTTTCTTTTTTGGTAGAAATCTATGCAAAAAAAGTTGTGAACTTTAAAAAATAATCTTTAGAACAAGCCAATGTCTGGTGATTCTTTTACAATCCACACATATTCTGAACCCCTATTATATCACAACCATTTTAACAGAATAGCCTGTAAACCCAACCTATTTTTATGACCAAGGCGAGTCTGAGTACACAATGATAAAAAGCACATGACTACCTAACTGTACGCTTACTCAGACCCAACTCGTAATACAATCACTCATTAGTGAGACATTATGGTCTTGAACATCCCTTTAGGTCAATATTGCTAAAAGCTTTCGCAAGAGAGTAGGTAGCGATTGTTAGGGGAGTTACCATAAGGATAGGATGAAGTCATGGTTGGGGCAAATTTAATTTCAATTAAGTCAATGCAGGCACAAATGTGATCTTGTAATAATGATTTTAAAAAATGAATTTCTTACCTCATGGGAGTTGGAGTTTGGAGTTTTACAAACTGTAGAGGTGAAAAGGAAAGGGTAAAATATTAGGACATCATTCTATTCAGTCATGCAAAGTTCTGAAAATTAAACTAGACTTGAATATTTTTTATAAGAGACCCTGTAGAAGTCTCCAGAAATGTTCTGGTAACCAAACATGTAGAGAATGTGATCTTACGTACTGAAAGGGAAGGTAATGCCATGTTTCTGGATGTGTTTGAGAGTGTCGGTTCCACACTCACTCCTTAGAACCATGAAGGGAGGAGAGCAGATCCTTTCATCTATAGAAAAGAGGGAGAGAAAGAGAGATATACTGTTATTCCTCTATCCTTGCCATTTTAATCACTATACTGTTTACTATAATCATGCTTATTTGTATACATTCCTTAATAATGTAAGTACATAGAAAAGGAAGGAGAGAGATATTTAAAAAGTGTGTGTGTATATATACACACACGACTACAACCCTGAGCATCATAAAATCATCAACTGTAAACAGTTTGATAATAACTTGTTATATCAGTCAATGTGAAGAAAAGTTGAAAAAAGTCTTAATCAGTTAGGGAAGATGTAACAATCCTTTGATCTCTCAGCAAACCTCTGTTGAAATATATAGCCACGTGTGTCATGACCCCTTGACTTGCTGTGCTATGTTGTTTAACCACATGCTTGTCTGTTGGAGTTGAGACTGCGTGAAAACAATTACTTTAAATCACAATAAAAAAGGTCAACTGCTACAGCTCTCGCTCTCTCTAGCTCTCCCCAATATCTCCTCTTCCTTCTAAGGTCTCAGGGGAGCCGTTCAGCTGTGATGGCTTCGAGTCCCGCTGTCTTCGGTGCAGCTGTTTCTAGCAGAGCATGCAAAAAGTCTGCTTGTTTGCAGCATTTTCACACTCTCTCTGTGGTTTGTCTACCTGGTCTTTCTCTCAGTCTCCATCAACCCTTTCATTCTCTCTCAGTTGAGATTGTAATCTCTCCCTTTCCCTCTTCTCTCTCCATACCGCTCTTCCCCCAGTCTCTCCCACACTCTTCCTCTATACCCCTTTTCTTTCCCTTTACCACCTGCTATGGCTCTCATTATGCTCCTCTGGGCGTCATCTAGGCGTCCAGTGGTATGTTTATATTTGCTCACGGTGACCCTCGATCTCTGTCTCCGTGTGTTTGGATAAGCCGTTTTGATAAGCCGTCTCTTAGCAAGGACGCCATGGCTATAGCCTTGTCACCCAGCCATACAAAGACCCTGAGACAAACGAGGGCCTTGGGGCAGAGCGTGCGCGCGCACACACGCATGTAAACACAAGTCTCGTTCACATTACCTATAAGCACTCCGTTCATTGCGCCGGTTGTCATGCCTTTCAAATGGGGACTTCCACAACGGCATGGAAAGGCAACGCCCCCTTGCGGTTGAAGGCTCCGTTGCGAGACGGACGCCACATACTTTGACATTTTTCTAACTTTGCATCATCTTCAGTCAAGCCAGTCTGACAAAGAACAAGAAGTTACCAAACCACAGAAGATGAAAATGTGGTTTTCGGTGATGGTTTTATGGGATAGCTAACAACTTGTAAACAATTACCCATTCCTGTAAGTGAGTACTATTTTAATCGTAACATTAAATAACACACATTGGCCGTTAAGCCAATTATATGACTGTTGCCTCCCATTTAAGTTTGTAATGGTAATAACTTCATTTTTATTATTAGTTGGAGGTCACTAGCTACAATGGTATTTTCAACCTAGCTAGCTGCTCTGCAGTGCAAGCTAGCTTGACTTGCTTTAAAGTTAGAGAAACAAGTTTATGAAAAAGTAACTAAACAAAACGTGTTTTATTTTCACCTGAAACAATATATTTATCCTGTCTTGATTGAAAGGGTCATATTTTGTAATCTCCCAAATTAAATGCAATCTCTGACGAGAGACAGGCTTTCCATCTTGCGTTACAAACATTACACTTGTCCGTTCAGTAGCCCCGTGAAGATTACGTACGGCTTCATGAAATATGTCATGATGGAAACGGGGCAGCACATACACACACACCACCATGCAGACAGACAGACACAGAAAGATTGAGCTCTCCCTCGCTCTGTGTGTGTCTTGCTAGCTGTCACTCCAAATGGCAAGGGGCTGAAGCTCATTGGCTGAAACTCAAATTGCTAGGGGGCTGACCCGTGGGGGTAAATGTAGGGGAAATGGTGCCGCAAAGCTTCCAGAAAACAGTCGCTTTCAAACTAGGGATTTCATGGCTAATTGAGGAAGCTGAAACGGTAATTCTGCTTGTAGATTATGCATGTATGAACTAGACACTGACACATCCAGCCCAAAACGTGAGGTTTAAAAAAAACACTTACTAGTCGCCAAAGTACCGGAGCATGTCTTTAAGGGGTTCATGTAAATTGATAGTCTTCCATCCTCACAATCCACAATGTTCCCAATTATCGACCCTTGCAGGATGAAATACTGAAACTGCTCCATCTTGAAAACTTGACTGCTGACATTTTTGCACAACAGTGGACATATTTTTTGCACACGTCAAGCATTTCATTGAGCCCACCCAGAGTATTATATTGGCAGGGTTTAGATACCAAATATCCTTCAAGTCCACTTGCCATGTAAAGCCTGACTCCAGATACTGGCTTTTACAAATAATCTCTACTACCCATTTTAGAAATATAAAGCAACATTTATATGAACCCCTTTCAAACAGCCCCTTATTTACCACTTAATTGCAGGTATACACCCCCTTTATACATTTAACTGGCAAATTGGGAAGGCTGGGGTGTGTTAAACCATGGGGGCTGTTTGCATTTCAAATTAGGGAGGTGTTAAACAATGGAAGTGTTAATTAAATTTACCTGCAAAAAAGCAGAGAACCATTCACACAGACCCAAAACCTGTATATTCGTTACAAGGCCTGTGAAAATGCTGGAATCATGACTAGGTATTTAGGTGGGTTTTAATTTAACATGTTTTTTACCCCCTAACAAAGAGCTCGATTTTCATCTCATAAGACCATAGCACCCGGTTCCAATCCAAATGCCGTTTAGCAAACTCCAGGCGTTCACATTTGTCGGTTGCTCGCAAAGGCTTTTTTTCTGGAAACCCTTCCAAATAGCCTATTGGCATGGAGGTGGCGTCTAATTGTAGATTTGGAGACCCGAAGATGTGACCAAGTTATGTAATTCTCCAACTTTGGCTCTTGGATTTTTCTTTGCCTCCCAAGCCATCTTCCTCATGTGCGTGCGGACAAGATGCCTGGCATTGGACGCAAGTGTAAGTTGACCACTGTTCCAGTGGTTTTAAACTTCTTAATTGTTGCCCTAATAGTGGTAAGGGTTATTTTATTTAGCAATTGTTTTGGTACCCATTGCCTGATTTATAAATGTCAACAACCATGTCTCTTTTCGTTTGTGAGTTCTTTGCCTTTTCCCATTGTGATGGATGACCAAAAGGATTTTACATAAGTGTTACTTCATTTTTATACCCCAGTGAAACAGGAAGCCATGGAATGCCACAATACTATTCCTTAAAATGAGAATATCTTAAAAGTATAATGTTAATGCAAATTGAATTGTTTGATTTTATTTATAAGAATCTTATAATTTTGACACCTACAGGTAACTGCCAACATAAAGGAAACACTTGAGTAAATTAGGGATACAAAGTATATTGAAGATCCTAACCCAATTAAACACTTATGGAAGATTCTGGAGCGGCGCCTGAGACAGCGTTTTCCACCATCATCCACAAAACACTAAATTATGGAATTTCTCATGGAAGAATGATGTCGCATCCCTCCAATAGAGTTCCAGACACTTGTTGAATCTATGCCAAGGCAATAGAATCTTGTGATGATACATCTTGCTTATCTCAGGGATTGACCCAAGATGAACCTTAAGTGCGCAATATGTTTAAGTTGCAACTTATTCTGTTTAGGTTTATTAGATGCTAATTGAACACTAAGTGCGGGAGCCTCAGTTCATATGTTAGTAGAAGTTCTAGGATAGTGAGAGGTGAGCGCATAGTTGGGATTTTATTTGTGTTTTACCTCTTGTTCGAGGTCGCGCCGTGCTTTTT